CTCTGGGTGGAATCACAGGGCTTCAGGATGGTGACTTAAGGTCATAGCAGGCTGGGCTCAAAGCCTCACGGAGGAGAAGGGGAGCAGAGGCCATCTCAGGAGAATGGCTCTGGGGATAGAACTTTCCAGAGCTGAGCCTTAATCCCTGTTTCATGGTCTGTTTTTACTCCTCTCAGGCCCTCTGAGCAGCCTCGAAGTGTACATTAAGTGTACTGAGCCTTAGATCTGTGGCTGTTGGGGGAGGGGTATTTTCCTTTCAGTCTGGGTGAAGGTTAGACCCTACTTGATCATGACACTTGTCAGTTTGTCCTGTCCTCTCCATCTGCAGGTCCTTCCTACCCACACTGGAACCAGATGACCTGGTTTGGAATCCCAGCTCATTCACCAGCTGTATAAGCCTGTAAGGCAAGTTACTTAACCTTCTCTATGCCTCAGTTTCCTCTTTTGAAAATTGGTAACAGTAACAGTACCAATCTTAGGGGGTTGCCTTAAGGATTCAATGTGATGATGTGTGTAAAGTGAAAAGAACAGTGTCTGGAACTGAACAAGTGCTCTATAAGTGTTTGCTACTGTTATATGACGGTGATGATGATTGTCACTCTGAGGATGTCAGCAGCTCCAGTGTCTCTGTCAGGGATTCCACGCTACTGCTCTTCCAGGGTCTTCCTTCCTCTTCCCATCTCCTGAGCCCTCTGTGCCCCAGACCCTAGGCCAGGGGCCTTACCAACTCCTGCCCATCTCTCAAGTCTCCTCTTGGATCTGCCACAATATATATGTTGCTTATTCATTTCGTGTATTGTCTGTCTTCACCCCTCCTCCTCACCCTACTAGAATGTAAGCTCCATGAGGACAGGGATTTTCATCTGCATTATTCCCTGCTGTGTCCCCAGTACCTATACCAGTGCCTGGCACATAGTCGCTGGTCAATAAATATTCATGAAGGAATGAAATGATTTCTTTTTATCTTAATAGTTACCTAGCATTTACTATGTGCCAGGCACCAATATAAGGACTTTGTAACTATTTACTTATTTCATCCTCATATCGATTCTACGAGATAGTTAACATTATTGTCCTCCTTTCATAGAGAAGGAAACTGAGGCAGAGACGTTGAGTAACTTGCCCAGAGTTATACACTAATAAATATGAGAGCTAGGATTTGATCCCAGAAAGTGAAGCTCCAGACTCCGCTCTACATGAAAAAATTCTTCATGACAAAAAAAAAATCAAAGCAAATCAAAAGGCATCAAACTGGGGAAAAAAATATTTGCCATTCTTATCATACACAAGGGCTAATCTTGTTGTTTAGATAGCTCCCACATGTCGATAAGAAAGACCAAGGGTTCAATTAAAAAATGGACCAAGAACATGATAGACAGATCACAAAAAAAGACAATAAGGGCTTAAACACATATGCAGATGTTCATCTTTGCACATAATTTGAGAAATGAAAAGATAATACTGAAGTGTCATTATTTACTGCATCAGCAAAATTCATATGTCTGACAGAACACTCTTTTGGCAAAACTGAGGGGAAACAGGAATTTTCCCTCATTGCTGAGGGGGTTGCAAAGTGATACAACCCAGATAATATTTATCAAAATTCTGGACGCAGGAATCCCGCTTCTGAAAAGCTGTCTGAAAGGTAAATCGGTTCGCTACTCCTTCATGAGAAACCACCCCAATACTCACTGGCATAAAACAACAAGGATTTATTGTTTCTCCAGATTCTAAAGATCGCTGGGTGGTTTTGCTGCTGGTCTTACCTTAGGTTACTCAGTTGACGCGGTCAGCTGGCACTGTGGCTGGGGTTGGATGGCCCATGAAGGCCTCTCTCACGCGTACATGTCTGGGACCTTATTTCTTTTTTTTTATTAATTTCTTTTTTATTTATTTTTTGAAGGGGGAGGAAACTAGGCTTATTCATTTATTTATTTTTAGAAAAGGAACTGAGAATTGTAACCCAGAGCCTTGTGCATGCTAAGCATGAGCTCTCCCACGTGAGCTATACCCTCCCCCGCCAGAACCTCATCTCTGACGGCCCAGTTGGCTGGGACGATGCCTGCGCCACTCTCTCCTGGGTTTCTTCATAGCATAGTGGCCTCAGGGTTCCAAGAGGGTGAGAGTAGAAGCCGCAAGATCTCATGAGGCCCTGCTCAGAAGTTGCACAACATTGCTTCCACCATATTCTGTTAGTCAAAGAGACTCACAAGTCCATAAGGGCTGCAAAGAGTGAAGAAACAGATGCTGACTCTGGTTTTGATGGAGAGAAAGGCTAGAATGAGCTCCCTGGGAGGCACATACCAGTTGACCAGGAGAATGTTTCAGTAATCCAGGGTTTCTGCCTGGATTGAATCCCAGCTCCTGTCTTGAGTACGTTACTTAGACTCTTTTCACTTTGGTTTCCTGATAAGTAAACAGAGGTAATAATAACAGTAACCCCACATGGTTGTTGTGAAGATTAAATGAATTAACACGTTTAAAACAGAGCTTGACACAGGATAAACACTCTGCAAGAATTAGTTATGACTCTCACTATTAGTCGTAGTGTTATTAACATTATATTCATTTTAAGGGTTCAGGATGATTTGAACAGGCAGTGGAAATAGTGAGGAGAGGGATGTGTGACCAAATTCCAGGGGCCTAATGAATATAACCTGAAAAGTGGATTTGAGGGATGGAGGAACAGGAAGGGGCACACACCAGAATAACAGTGCTCTTTCACATCTGCTTGAATTGAGATTTTTCAAGTTTACAAATGGCTTTCCTGCTTGTTTTCACAGTAAATCTCCTTCTGTGCCTGAGGGGTGCATATTATAGCCCATTTTTCAGATTTGGAAACTAGGGCTTAGAGAAGTTAGGTAACTGGCTCCATGGGGACAGGCTGCTCTTTGTTTGCTCTCCACTGTGTCTCTAGCCACAGAATGTAGTCCTTTCACAAAGAGTAGGGCCTCAAGAAATTCCGGTTAATGGATGAGTTGGTCAAATGGGTATTCATTCTTTTGTTCCTCAGCACAGCAGGTGTGATACATCCTGTGCCAGGTACCATAGCAGAGCAAAGATTAATCAGATAGGATCCTTGAATATGAGTCACTCAGAGCCCAACAGATTGACCAGCTGTGTGTACATTTTGCCACCTGAAGCACTGAGGCTTCCTTGAAGGGCAGGTGCTCTGGGAAGTAACCCAGCCCTACAGCAAAAATAAACCTTTGTTTCTTAAGTCACTGAGATTTGGGGGATGTTTGTTATGTAGCATAACCTAGCATTAGCCTTGCCTATCTGATACTCCATGGTTCTCAAACTTGACTGAAAATAAGAATTGCCGGAGGTAACTGCTAAAAACCCAGATTCCTGGGCCCCAACCCAGATCTACTGACTTAGAATTTCCAGGGAAGAGACCTGTATGTTTAATAGGCTTGCCCTCCAGCTTCAGGAGGGTCAAGAAAGACTCCTGTGGCTAAACTTGGAATGGAAGAGTAGGAACTGGGCTTGGGGAAGGGAGAGGGAAGGGTATTCTAAGGCTCAGGAACAACATGAGAAAAGGCATGGATTGGGGAAATGCAGGGACTGGCTTGGGACTAGGTATGTGGGGGATGGTGGTATGTGCTAAAGTGGGAAGTCAGGTTAGGAAGCCTGGGCTTTATCTCATTGGCAATGGGGAATTGGAGTGGTTTTCTGAGCAGGAGCTGGCCTGGTTATATTGATGGTCCAGGTGATCCACCTCCCAGGGTTACTGAGTGGACTTTTAAGTGATCATAGATGTGTTGAGTTCAAATCACTGCCCCATGAGAGGAATTACTGTTGTTATCACATAGCGTGTGACCGTCCTTAGAGCCGCAACCAGATTTGCGTTATACATCTTTCACTCATTCATTCATTCAACGAATATTTATTGAGCACCTACTATGTGACAGGTGCCATAGTGCCACTGGAGAACCAGCAAGGGACAAAACAAGCAAAATTCCCTGCCTTCAAGTCCTGAGCAGACATTTTTCCAAAGAGGACATGTAGAAGGCCAACAGGCCCATGAAAAGATGCGCAGCATTGCTAAGCATCAGGAAAATGCAAATCAAAACCACAATCACCTCACTCCTGACAGAATGACCATCATCCAAAAGAACGCAAGTAACAAATGTTGACAAGGATGTGGAGAAAAGGGAACCCTTGTACACTGTTGGTGGGAATGTAAATTGGTGCAGCCACTGAGGAAAACAGTATGGAGGTTTCACAAAACACTAAAAATAGAACTACCATACAACCAGGAATTCCGTTCCTGGGTATATACCTAAAAAAACAAAAACACTAATTCAAAAAGATATGTGTACCCCAATGTTCATAGCAGCATTATCTGCAATTGCCAAGATATGGAAACAACTTAATTGTCCATCAACAGATGAAGGGATTAAGAAGATGTGACCTATATGAACAACGGAATATTACTCAGCCATAAAAAAGAATGAAATTTTGCCATTTGCAACAACATGGATGGACTTGGAGGGTATTACGCTAAGTGAAATACATCAGACATGGAAAGACAAATACTATATAATATCACTTCTATATGTAATCTAAAAAATACAACAAACTAGTGAATATAACAAAAAAGAAACAGAATCACAGATATAAAGGACAAACTAGTGGTTACCAGTGGGGAGAGGGAAGTGGGGAGGGGCAATATAGGGGTAGGGGATTAAGATGTACAAACTATTATGTATAAAATAAGCTACTAAGATATACTGTACAACACAGGGAATATAGCCAATATTTTAGAGTAACTATAAATAGAGTACAGCCTTTAAAAAATTGTAAATCATTGAAGTGTACACTTGTAACTTATATAATACTGTACATCAATTATATTTCAATTTAAAAAATCCCTGCCTTCATGGAACTTACTTTCTTTGTCTTAATGCCTGGGTAAAGGTGTGAGGGAAGATGCCATGCATTAATTCAGCTCTTCACTCAGATTATTATTTTTTTTAATTTAAAAAAATTTTTTTCAGGGGAAAGCTCGAACACAGTCCCCCACTATCACAAATTATACAGCTGAGCTTCCCACGTTTGGGGAAATCGCAGGGTTCAGCACATCCAGAGCACAATGGGTAAGCCTCGCCCTGGGAAAACCACCTTTCTGACCATGGCATCTCCCCTGCCAGGCAAGTATTTCACTCAGATTTTAGTGAGCGTCTACTTTGTGCCTCACCCATGTTGGTTGCTGGGGAGAAGCAGAAATGAGTCATTCCCAGGCTGCTCTAGTGTGGAAGTAGAATCAGCCCACATCGCATGAGGCTGTCTGCCTGGACCACTGTGACAGGCTTGAACTGGGCCTTGAAGGATGAGAAGTCTGTCTATCAAGGAAAGGGCAAAACAGCTTACCAGGCAGAGGAAACAACACAGTGAAAGGCTCCAAGTTGTTCAGGGTCTATGATTCCTTGGTGTCGTTAAAGCGTGGGGTCCACAGAACAAGAAGGAAAGTGATAGGAGAGATGAGGTGATGGGGCTGCGGACCAAATGCTATTGAGTGTGATCCAGGAGGCTGGAGCGGGGTGGCTTTGTTAATGTGGGGGGTTGATGTTATCTTATTTGTTTGGTGGGTAATCACACTAACATCTGGGGGGAAAACTGAACATGAAGAAAAAGGGCTGCAGGCAGGAAAACCCAAAAGAAGGCTGTCAAAACAGAATTCATCCTGATTAGGAGGGGAGTTCTGGTGTCCCTGAAGGTCCAGTTATGCTCCATCCCACCCCTAATGCCCACCCCTCCTGCTGGTCCAGGTGAAAGCTCATGAGAGTCTAGACTGACCAGAGGTGGTGGGGATGAGGAGACCCAGGAGACAGCTCTGGGTTTGGCAGTTGAGGGAGGAGCTAGAACATTGTGGTTTTATAAGAATGGGCTTTCTAATCAAAAGATGCAGGCAAGAGTCCCAGCCCTGCCCTTTACTTTGTTTAAGCGGGCCAAGTCTGTTTCCTGATCTGGACACTTGGGATAATAACAGTAGCTGCTGTGAGGTTGGGAGGATTATGGGAGCTACTCAGTGAAGCACCTGGGAATTGGTGGATGCTCAGAGCATGGTAGCATTAATTGGATGGGGGAGAGAACCAAGGACAGCTTTCTGTCTGCTTTGGGTGACTGGGTGGAGGAACATGCCACCTCTGATGGAGAGCACAGAAGGGGCACTTTGGGGGGAAACGAGGCCACCACAGTCTTGGAGGTCAACGTCAAAGCCGCGCTCACTCACGGCAGCGATGGATCCCCGTGTCTCTGATTGCATCGTTTGTCTCTGTTCTTGGGACCCAGCTCAGTGCTTGGGCACATAGTAGGAGCAGGACCTGGCTTGCAGGTATAGATGTGGCTGTTGAACGTATGCACAGCTGAACCCAGGGAGGTGAGAGGGTAAAGAAAGAAGAGAACCCAGGATGGGGTCCAGGAAACCCTGACGCTGAGGGAATGTGAGAAAGGAGGGGGTCTGGAAGGAGGCTGGCTGATGACATTCAGCGTTTGGAGAGGGAAGGAATGGGAGACAGGAATCAGATGGGAGCCAAGGAGAGGAGGATTTCAAGAAGAGAGGTCATCAGGGTCACATATCGCTGCAAGATCATGGAGGATAAGGCCGGACGAGTGCTCGATGGATTTGGCATAGACGAGGTCATTGGGTAACTTGGCAAAAGCAGGTTCAAGGCCTGTTGGAGGCCAAAGCCCCCATGGCAGGGGTAGAGGAGTTGATGTGATGTTAAGACGTGGAGATGGGGAGAGGAGGGGTGGACATTAAGGGAAGGGATGCAGAGAAATTGGACCCTCACGGGTACCAGAACTCCCCTCCCAATCAGGACGAATTCTGTTTTAAGTCAGAGCCATGGAAAGATAGGCCAGGAGGTCTCCAGAGGTGGTGAGCACCCTGTCCCTGGAGGTAGAGGAGCAGAGCTCTGAGACCCATGCTGTCCAGGGACCCTCACACTGAGAGTGGGGAAGGCTGTGTTAAAAAACAAGCCCCATGGCCTTCTCAGCGAGACTTGGCTGATTCCTTGCATCACAGAAGCCACCTAGAGGGTCACTCTTGCTATTTCTAGTGTCCAAAAGAGCCTCCTGCAGAGACCCACACACAGAGGTGGTCGTGCACAGACTCACACAGATACCCTCAAACACAAAATATAAAATCTGTCTGTATCTCCTGGTGTAAAGGGATCCACAGCACCTCTCCTCGGGATATTTCCTTAGTTCATTCCCTTACCCCTTCTTTCTGCCATTCCACCGCCACCCCCACCCTGCACCAGCATCTCTGTGCCTCCAGCCGCATCTCCTCTGTCTCTCCGCATCTCTCCCTGCTTCTCTGGCTCTGCCCTTCCCCACCCAGCTCTAGGCCTCTCCAGTCCCCCTCCCTCCTGGGTCCCCCTCCCCGGACTACAACCCCCAGGCGCCCCCAGCCCGGGGCGCTGCGCATGCCCCC